TATCATTGGTTCTTTTTAAATTTTTTTAAAAATTTTATTATTTTTTTGTGTATGTGCCAGCAAATTGGATCCAACTGGTACAGGAAGAGATTGCCCCTGTTTCTCCAGTGGAGCACTGAATAGCACACCTTTGGGATTGCAGCACATCTTGCCACTAGGTGACCAGAGCTGCTATCATTGGCTCTTGATCATAAGGTACTTCCTGAAATATTCCAGTATTGGCTAATTCTTTTTGGTACAGTGACTCTGTGTATTCACACCTCCTTTAGCATCTTCCAAACAGTGGTCATTAGCATAACAATCTCCTAAATTTATATGCGTTAGCCTACCTATTTGCCAGCATACATGCTGGTGCTTCTAGTTCTGGTAATATACCCGGTAAACTCAATGTCAGCCTTCTATTGCATGTACAAATTAGACAATAAATAAAGATTGAAGAATTAACTGATGCCTTTGAATTATAGTGTTGGTGAAAAGAATGCAATGTACCCTGGACTGACAAAAGAACAAACAAATCTGTCTTGGCAGAAATGCAGTTAGGGTGTCTTGTATTAGAGGCAAGGACCTCACATACTTTGGACACGTTATCAGTAAGGGAAGACTCTCAACAAGATGGGTTAACACAATGACTGCAACAATGGACTTAAGCATAGCAAACTGTGAGGCACAGATCAGGTAGGGCTTCGTTCTACTGTTCACTAAGTCACCATGAGTTGGACCCAATTTGACAGTGATGTGGAAGAAGTAATAAAGAAAACTTTATAAATTCAGGATGACAGAAAATAAATCCAGGGTACCTGATTATTTCAGAAGGTCTACTTCAAAATGAGAACACTGGGGAACGGTAAATGATTCCTTAAACTTAACGGCATGAACAAAAACATCCTTTAAAAGAGCATTACAAAGGGACCTCTGGTGGCCTGGTGGCAAGAAGCTGTGCTGCAATCCTGAAGATGGTCAGTTTGAATCCACCAGATTCTCCACTGGAGGAGGAGGAGCAATCTCCTCCTGTGCCAGCTGGATCTGATTATAGACGATACACAACAAGAAAAAAAAATCCCACCATAAAACCCCACACAATAAAGAAAATTTAAATTTTTTTTTAAAAAGAGCATTACAGTTACTACGTGGAGAACATAAGGGAAAATAAAAAGCAAGACTGGAAAAAAGAAAATACAGTAATGACCTAAAAAGATCAATGATGGTTAGAAGTGATGTTAATGAATTATAATTGAACTGGGAGAATGAAGAGGTCAGTTTGAAAAAGGGAAAAGCTAAGGCATGACCCCGTTTTGGGCAATATAGTAGGAGGCTATGAGACACTTCATGGAAATCGTCTACAGCACTTTTGCACACTTCAATACATCACTTGTTTTCTTATCTGCTCTTTCCATAGGCACTGATTGTGGGTCTAAGTAAAATGAAATCCCTGTCTTCAATCTTTTCTGTTTTTCATGCTATTTATTGACCTAACTGTGCCGTTTTCTTCTGTTGGGGTGTAATCCATACTGAAGTAAATACTTCATCAGTAAATACTGTCAGTCCTAATTGTTTTCAACAAGCAAGAATGTGTCATCTCCATATTGCAGGTTAACAAGCAATTCTGATGCTGAATTCTAGTGCATATAGTCCAGCTACTCAGATTATTTACTAGCATACAAACTGTGTAAGTAGAGTGAGAGGAGACGGAATGACATACATCATTCCATATTTTAAAACCCCTTATCATCACATGATTGAAGGATATCGAATTGTGGCTGTGTAAATTACAGGCATGTAATGTGGGAGTCAAGTAATGAATTCTCTAAGATGTGGAGTGTAATGCTTTTTATCTTACAAAAGATAGAAGGAAGAAAAGTGAGCAGAGTTGGCAGGACCTCAGAGCCACCAAGAAAGAAGACCAGGAACAGAGTGCATATTTTGGATTTAGCTTCCTGTGCTGTGAAAATCCTTGAGAAAAAAAGAAGTGGAGATCTCCAAGAAATACCAGGTGATGAAAGGAGATAGGATCTTCTTATGGAACTAAAAGAAATTAAGTTCAGCTGCTCAGCTTACCGTTGTGGTTGTGTGTAGACAGAATTGATCCATAACTGACTCTCTAGTGGGTTTCAGAGAGAGTTAATTGCACGGGAAGAGACCCAACCTTCTTCCACAGAGCAACTGGTGGATTTGAGCCACAGCCCTTCTGGATTGCAGTGTAGCTTTTTGCCACTAGAGCTTACCAAGAATGCAAAATCTTATAAAGGTGTAAGTCAAGGTTTTATTCTTTCTATATATCTATTCAATTTGTATGCCAAGTAAATCATTCAAGAAGCTGGATTCTAGGATAGCATCAGGCTTTCTGATGTGGCATTGGACTAGAGGAAGACTCTCTGGTAAACTTCAGTATGCAGATGACAAAATCTTACTTGGTATAAGTGAGGAGGACTTGAAATATTGCAGCTTTCAATATGGACTGCATCTCAACATTAAGAAAACAAAAATTCTCACCACTGGACCATTAGGTAACATCATGATAGATGGAGAAAAGATTGAAACTGTCAAAAACTTCAATTTACTTTGCTCCACAATCAATACATTTGATATTAGCAGTCAAGAGATCAGGAGATGTAGACGCTGCACTGCAATCCCAGAGGTACATGGTTCAAATCCACCAGATGCTCTGCTGGAGAAGGAGGGGGCAATCTCCTCCTGTACCAGTCAGATCTGATTTGACGGTACACGTAAAAATAATACAATTTAAAAAAAAAAAGTCTGCATTCAGGGACTTTTTAAAATTACCGAGGAGCAAGGATGTTGTTTGAAGACTCAAGTGCTCCTGATTCAGAAAATGGCCATTTCAATCACTTACTGTGCTTCTGAGGGCTGGACAATGAATAAGGATGACACAATAAAAACAGATTTCTTTGAACTGTGGTGTTAGAGAAGAGTACTAAAGATCCCAAGAATGCCAAAAGAACAAACAGATATGTCTTGGAGAAGGTACAACTGAAGTGCTCCCTGGAGGTAAGGATGACACATACTTTGGGCAGGCTGCTAGAAAAGGCTGTTCATTGGAGAGGAACATTATGCTTAGAAAGGTGGGGGGATAGCAAAAGAGAGGAAGACCCCCAACAAGGTGGACTGACTGCAGCAACGGGCTTGAGTACGTGGGATATTGTGAGGATGGTTCAGAACTTCAGATCTGTTCACAAGGTCTCTGTGAATTGTACAGCTCCTAACAAAAACAACACAGAACCCAGTGAGAAAAAGTCTTCCCCTAGAGTCAGCACCTTAATCTGTACTGCTAGTCTCCTAAACAGTGAAGGATTAAATTTGTTAAAGGAAATAAAGGGTAAAAGAAAGCCCTAATACAAGTATTTTAGGAATGGGAAGTAGTGGGGTTAGTGAAGGAGCTTAAGAACGAGCTATGTAAGTAGATCGAGCACCAAGAATAAGTGTTATCACAGAAACTAAGTGTGAGAGTAGACTATTGTGCCAAAGGTATAGAAGGAGTGAAATATTGTCCAAATACAAATAACTGACATTAAACTTGTTTCAAATTACTTTAGGGGTGTGGTTAGGGCAGATGCCCCATAGCGGTGGGCTTCAGTGTTAATGAAGTTAGGACATGGACAAAGTAGGCGTAAACTATTTTAAGAGGTTTGGCTGGAAGGGAAAGAGATATAATAGATGAAAAGGGACAGAGGGAGGAATATTTTAAGAAAAAGAACAGCTAAATGAGCAAGAATTTATCAACTGGGGTCAGATATTCTGATTAGCTACAGTTTAACCTCAGAATGTCTGGCAGTGTATTCCATACGCACTGCTTATCTGAATCTGAAATTCTAAGGGGGGGCCAGTTCGAATTCAGTAGCTCTGTGTGCAAAATGACAGCCAATTTCTTCCCTTGCCATTCACAGCCTCTGAAAACCTCCAACTCTACAGCAATGAGTCTGAGTTCTGAGCTCTGTAACCTTGGGCAAATCACTTCTTATCCTCCATCTGATGAGTAGTCTAACCATGGTTGAGACATTTAGCATCTCCAAGTTTGTGTAAAATCAAGATAAGGTTCTCTGCTCTGGTGAGTCAATATTTAAGTGCTCTGTTACTAAGAGAAAGGTGAGGGGTGAATGTTCATAGCACTCATTTGCCCTGTAAGAGGAAAGACTAAGCGATTTACTTCTGTACAGATTACAATCCGGTTTATGTAAATGCTTTTAAAGTGTTCCTTTGAAAGTAAGTGATTACTTTTAACTCTGATGCGTGCTCAAACGAAAGACTATTTTGGGGTGGAGGCAGGTAGGGAAGATCTCCTCTCAATTCTATGGGGCTATAAATCTGAACTGACTCAACATTACACACCACCAAAATAATAATAACAATAATAATAATACCAACAACACTGTCAAGTTCTGAAGACTGCTGTGAGGACTTAAATGAAATATTCATAAACCATTTGTCATGAAAATGGAACAGAATTCTACCTACTTCATTACTGTTTAGATATTTCAAATTATAGAAAAAAGGCAGCAGAAAAGTTGAAAATGGGAAGTAAAATACAAAATAAAGAGTCTATCAAGTGCCCTGAGAATCAGACTATAACTATACAACACTAACAAGTGTTGTGGAGATAATCCTTTTACAGTTTGTAAAATAGAGAATGGGAGATAACTTACTGAATGGAGAGTTGCAGGGTGGGGTTGTACGGCCGCATTTAAGAGGGAGAAGGGAAGACAGGCAAAGAGGAATATAAAAGATAGGTTGCACAACGTACATTTTTATAAAGCCAGATTGTGTATTTTCTGAGAAGGTGCTCTGGAGCTTTAGATAAAAGCCAAGAAAGCTGACAACACATTTATGAGCAGATGGAGCGGGTCTGATTCACAGAAAGTTGCGGGTAGAGGGAGAGCAGGGCGCCCGGCGCTGCGAGCAGTGAGCGTCGGTCCTACCAGTTCCCCTCCCAGAGATCGAACACCCGCCGCCCGGGCGGTCAGGACTGAAGGCGCTCCGAGGCTTACCAGCAGGCTCTCCACATTGATGGGGTCTCGGCAGCGGCGGCGGACCCCCTCCTCTGCCGGGTCTACGAGGAGGCTGGGCAATTTCCTCGCTGGCCGCTGCTGATTCACGCCGCCGAGCCAAGTAGCCATTCCCTCCTCGCACCCCGAGCCCTCTTCCCGCCTTCTCGCAACCCCAGGCGAGTACCGCCTCCAACACGCGGGTCTGCGGGAGGGAAGCGCAAACTAGATGGCGGGAACTCCAGGAACGAGAGCCGGGGCTCCACACAGACTGCCCTGCGCACACAAGCGTCACCACCCTAGGAACCCGAGCGTTGCTAAATGCAGAGCGGAGAAGAAGAAGGTGACCTGCGGGAATTGAAGACGTCAGGCCGCCATCTTCCCGCATGCGCAGTGCACCGCCCCCTTTGCGCATGTCAGAGGCGGCAGGCGCTCGGGGCACCAACGTCCGGGCCGGGAGCGCGGGAAAATCGGGACCACGGAGTCTTTGGAGGGTAGTGAAGGCTAGTAAAAGGTGGAGGAGACAAGGGGCCGGGATGAGAGAAAAGGGGCTGGCTGCAAAACGCAACTGCGGTCTTGGAAATATTGACATTAAAGGTTAAGTTCTGAGTCTGCTAATTTGTTCAGGTCCGTCTCTCTGCACATTACAGGAATTTTCTCTTAAGTCGATGCTTAGTAAATGTTGGCAATCAAACCATTGTGGATGTGTTTTCTAGCACATATTTATCTCTCTTTCCTCTCTCCTTCCTTTTAAAAACAGAAATTGATTGTTGTTGTGTACCATCGAGTTGGAGCCGACCCATTGCTGATCTTCTAGCAGACTTTCAGAGGCAGTAAATCGCAAGGAAGGAGTTTATCCTTTTCCCGTGGAGCCACTGACGGATCCTAACCATGAGCCTTCAGGATTACGACGCAGATATCTACCAATAGAGTTCTAAATTATTGATTGTTACGTGCCGTAGAGTCACTTGCAACTCATAGCGACCCTATCTTTGTACAACAGCCCGGAAACTAGCTCTATCCTGTGCCATTTCCGTCTCTGACATACTTACCCCAAGTCACTGTGTCAATCCACCTCATCAATGGTCTCCTCTCTTCTCTCCGTTCCTCCACCCTCCCAAGCATGACGTCCCTCTCCAAGGACTGGTCCCTCCTTGCAGCATGTTCAAAGTATGTCAGACAAAGCCTCAGAATCCTTGCCTCCAAGGAGCAGCCTGGTTTAACCCTCTCCAGGCTGAACCTATTCATTCTGGCAGTCCATGGTATATTCAATACTCTTCTCCAACACCACAGCTCAAAGGCATCGATTCTTCTATCATCCCTAATCATTGTCCAGCTCTCTGCCACATAGCAAGCAATTGCGAAGACTATGGCCTGGATCAGGCACACCTTAGTTTCTAGTCTGACATCATTGCTCATTGCAGATTTTCCCAATGCAATTCGTCTCTTGATTTCTTGGCTGCTGGTACCAAGAGTGTTGCTTGTGGAGCCAAACAACTAAAGCTGTTAACAATCTCAGTCTCTTCAACGTCTATAATATGCTGCCAGTTAGCCCAGTGATGATAATCTTTGTATTCTTAATGTCAAGCTTCAATCAACATTGAAGGCTATAGCCTTTGACCTTCTGTAGTAAGTGTTTCAGGTCCTCAGTTTCAGAAAACAGTGTTGGGTCATCTGCATAATGCAGGTTGTTGATGGATCCTGATGCCACATTCCTCCTCATACATCCCAGATGATCTGTTCTGCATATAGATTGAAAAGGTATGGAGACAGAATATATCCCTGGCATACACACTTCCTGATTTTGAACCATGCAGTGTTTCCTTTCTTTGTTCTAGTATTTCTCTGCCTTCTGGTATTAAGTATAGGTTTCTCATAGCACAATCAAATGTTCTGGGATTTCCATTTTTCTCAGAATCAGCCACAGCTTGGTGTGGCATCGTCAAACACCCACAGATAGACATTCCTCTGGTACACTCTGCTTTCAGCCAAGATATATTTAACTTTAGCTATGATATCCCTAGTATCACTACCTCTTCTAAACCCACCCTGCACATCTGGCAGTTCTCTGTTGATGTACTGCTCCAGTCATTTTCGATAATTTTCAGCAAAATCCTGCTTGCATGTAATATAAATGATATTGTTTGATAATTTCTGCACTCTGTCAGATCACCTTTCTTTGGGATGGAAAGAAATATAGATCTCTTCCAGTCAGTTGGCCAAGTGGTTGTCCTTCAGTTTTCTAGGCACTACTTAGCACATCCAGGGCAGGGTCTGTTTCTTGAAATATGTCAATTAGAATGTCACTAACACCTGGAGTCTATTCTTTTTTTTTTTTTTGCCAATTCTTTCAGAGCAGTTTGAATATCTTCCTTCATCACCACAAACTCTTGCTCATAAATTTACCAAATGTTTCATGCAATTTTTCTATGTCAGCCAATTCCTTTTGGTACAGTGGCTGTATACTCCTTCCATCTTCTTTTAATGCTTCCTGGATCATTTAATATTCTGCCTAAAGCATCCTTAAGTATTGCAACTCATGGCTTGGGTTTGTTCTTTAGTTCCTCCAGCTTAATGCTGAGCGAGTTTTGCCCTTTTGATGTTCTGAATCTAGCTCTTTGCATATTTCATTATAATACTTTGCTTTGTCTTCCCAAGCTGCCCTTTGAAATCTTCTGTTTAGCTCCTTAATTTATTTCTTTCTTCACTTTGCTTTGGTGTCTTGGCATTCTAATGCAATAGTCAGAGTCTCATCTGACATCCATCTTGGTCTTTTCTTTTTCCTCTGTCTTTGTAATGACCTTTTTTATTATTATTGAATTATTGGTTACTTTAATAAATTTATTACATTCTGTTAGGTGCAGGAGGAACAGAGAAAGAGGGAGACCATAGATGAGATGGATTGATACAGTAACTGGTGTAATGAGGGTAGGTGTGTCAGAGACAGCAAAATTGGCACAGGATGGAACAGGTTTTAAAGCTGTTGTACACAGGGTTGCTATGTGTTGCAAGTGACTCACCAGCACATAACAAAAAGGTGTAGGAAGTAGACAGTTGAGTTTGTGGAATCAATATTTTCCCATCTTCTCTCATCCTACTGACTCAACTTAGTTGTCTCATTCTTTAGTTAACTTCTCTACTTCTCTTTCCCCGGCGACCTCATCTGTGTTTGATTTTCCTCATCTGCTATAACCCACACTATCCTGTGCATATTTTCTTAAAAAAAATCTGATTGCTGATTGGTGGAAAACCTATGAACAATCTGTGTTATGCAGATGACACAACCCTGCTTGCTGAAACTGAGGAGGACCTGAAACGCTTGCTGCAGAGGGTCAATGACTGTAGCCTTTAGTATGGATTGAGGCTCAATGTCAAGAAGACAAAGATTCTCACCACTGGACCAATTGGTAGCATCAGGATGGATGGTGAAGAGATTGAGATTGTT